CCCGGTACATCGGAAATTCAACTTCATGGATTTGCGGACGCATCAAATCTGGCAATGGGCGCATCGGTCTATCTCCGTACATCCGCAGCGACATCGGGAACGTCTGTCACCTTGGTTTGTGCCAAGACCAAGGTGGCACCTCTCAAGAAGAAGACCATTCCAAGACTGGAGCTCACGGCAGCAGTCATGGTCAAAGAACTCGTGGCTTATGTCAAAAGGGCTTTAGAATTGGACAACATCGATATCTATCTATGGAGCGACTCATCGGTAGCCATCACCTGGATCAACGGGGACCCTGCCCGTTGGAAGGATTTCGTACAGAACAGGGTTCTTAAGATACGAGATACCCTGCCCTCTGTAACTTGGAGACACATCAATGGGAAGGAGAATCCGGCGGACTGCGCATTAAGGGGTCTCACCCCGACACAACTGGCGGAGCATTATCTATGGTGGACAGGGCCATCATGGCTTGTCCTGCCACCAGACCAATGGCTAGCATCATCAATGGACCTAGCATCAACAACAGAGGTATCATCAGAAGCGGCACAGGAAGCGAGGCCGCCCATCATCAGCTCACATCCAGTGCAGATTGTCGAGGCAAATACGCTAATCATCAGATACTCATCACTCACAAAGCTACTGCGGATTACAGCTTGGGTAAACCGCGCAGCAAAACGCTTCAGAAGACAGCCGCTACCCGATTCTCCACAATTGGAACCAGAGGAACTCGAAGAGGCGAGACTGTTTTGGGTCAAATACACGCAGCAGCTCTACTTCGAGGCAGAAGTTAACACGCTGAGGGACGCAAACCCCTTAGCAGCCAATCATCGTATGGCAACGTTGACGCCATACCTGGATAACGACGTCATGCGATTGGGCGGACGTCTAAGACGATCAACAGAGGTACTGGATCATCGGGGGACGAGCTCCAGTATGCTCCCACATCATCAAATGCGTAATTTGCGCACGTCATCGAGCATTGAGGGCTCAACAGCTGATGGGACAGCTGCCAACACGACGAGTGACACCATCGAGGGTCTTTCTCCACTCAGGAGTAGACTTCGCAGGCCCAATCAACATCCTGAGATGGAGAGGATCAGGGGCAAGCAAGACAATGTACAAGGCTTACATCTGTCTGTTTGTATGTTTTGCTACTTCAGCAACACATCTGGAACTGGTAACGGACCTCGCAGCGGAGGGATTCATCGCAGCGTACAAACGCTTCACATCGAGACGGGGCATCTGTGCAACCCTGTCCAGCGACAGGGGTGTCAACTTCATCGGGGCAGAGAGAGAACTTCAAAGGTTATTCGACCAGGCATCAAGCGAATCGGCAACTATCAGGGATCAGCTAGCATCCGACGGAACGAAATGGAAATTCAACCCTCCTCACTCGCCGCACATGCGAGACAAGTGGGAGGCTGCAGTGAAATCAACGAAATATCATCTACGAAGGGTCATCGGAACCTCGACCTTGACGTACGAAGAATTTACGACTCTTCTGACGCAAGTCGAGGCCATACTTAACTCTCGACCATTCTGCCCACTCACAAACGACCCGCAGGACACATCAGCCCTGACACCAGGATACTTCATCGTAGGAGAAGCGCTCACGACAATTCCAGAGCCTTCACTTCAGCAGATCAACACAACAAGACTGGACAGATGGCAAATCATCTCCCAGAGGCTTCAGAATTTCTGGGAACACTGGGCACGAGAGTGCATTCATCGTTACCAGCAAATTTATCGGTGGAAGCAGCCAACAAACGAAGTAAAAATCGGTTCGTTGGTCCTCATCATTGACGAGCGGGAGCCACCAGCCAAGTGGCCTCTGGCTCGAGTCATCGCAATTCATCCGGGACAAGACAACATGACCAGAGTTGTCACACTGAGGAAAGGCAATCAGGAGACTCAAAGGTCCATCCACAGGCTGGTGCCTTTGCCGATCAACGACGACCTTTTGGAAGGTCAACAGTGATACGTCATCATAATCATCAGATATACATCGTCACCTGGAGGTGACGCAGGGCGGGCGGGATGTTGAGAATCATCCTTCAGTCGGGCTAAATGTCGAATTTTGCTCGCTCGGCAACCTTCGGGCATCGACGAACACGCACGAGAACGATCGTGCGTGTCGTATCTTCAGTACGCCATCGAACTTCATCGAGTGAAAGTGCCGGAAAATTATCGCAGCTATTATCGAACATTATAATCGCAAATCATCTTTTTGTTAAGTTGTATACAGTCCACTCGGAAATCATCTATTTATTAAACTTTGTGTTGTGTAATTTTCAGTGCATAATAGTTTGTTGATTAAAGAAATCTCATCAAATTACCTCCGGCTAATTATCAACCCGTTACCTGAATCTCACTTTTCCTCCCGACCACCCGGCTCATCAAATTGTGATTGATTTCTAACATAGTCTCTATGCGCGACTGAAGTGAAACTGATCCTACTGGAAATTTTGGGAAAAGCAAAGGGTTGAAAGACAGTTTTTTTTGTACCAACATCAAGTAGTTAATCCTCCTTCGTGAAAGTTGGACCAATTCACTATTTGGGCGATGGAGTGGGGACAGCCAGTCCTTACGGAAAGCGCCTAGAGTGGTGGAAACGACTCTCACTGTCGGGAGTAAAAATTAGCTGATCCATATTTCCATGCTTAACTTTATTTGTTCTAGTGTTCGGAATATTGTGTAGAAATTTGGACTCAGTCCAACCCTTGATCATCACATTGGAATCTACCATAGGGTATCACGTCATATAATCCTGGTAAAAATGATCCGTGACAATTTAATCCTGTAAAATGATCCTACTCAAATTAATCTAGATGCAATATAATCCTGATCAAGATAATCCTAAACAAAATGATCCTGGATGATTTGATCCTGAGATTTTTTTAACCATTATATTGCTGTCAATTTCAATAAATAATGATAACTCTGTGTTAAATATTTTCAATTTTCGCTTTCAATTGAGGGGAATTGTATTCTAGAATAGTGGCAATTGTTTCTTGTAAGTGACGATTGTTCTTTTTCCTCTCATTTTAATTTTTCCAGGAAATTAATTTATGTCTAATTTGTGTGTAAATACCGAACGTGTTTGTGTGACGCTATGTAGAAAATTCGATGTTAAACTACTGAATGTTGTTAGAAGTTGTGACAGGAATAATATCAGCCCGGTGGCTTGGCGCAGTAATAGTAAGTTCGTTGCCTCATATGCGAAAGGTTCCGAGTTCAAATCCCGGCCGGGTAGAATGGTGCGATCTAACCATTTAAAGTCTTGATCATCATCGCAGTATACCCTAACCGGGTCGAAGCGATGTAAAATAATGATAAAAAAAAAAGAAAGAATATCTTAAAGTATCTCAAGGGAATCGCTTATTAGTATATTTCGATACCAGTGCGACGGGGTGGCAACGAGTGTGAAGTTGGCGGCCCGAGGCGAAGCCGAGGGCTGCCAATCATACGAGTTAAAACACCCCGTCGCACGTATATCCGAACTATATTTTTTGTTAGTGATGTTACGTTCAGCGAGTGCCGAACTGTGCCATTTTTCGTTTACTAGTAAACGAAAAGTTTTTTCGTTTACACATTTCGACTTTTCGTTTACTAGTCAACGAAAAGGCACTTTTCGACACGGGCTGAACGTAGCAGCAGTGACAAAATAGTATATTTCGTAACGAGTGCAAAAAAGTGTTTTTTGGCGAGTGGAAGGTTTATATCACGAGTCGAAGGCGAGTGATATAATCCCACGAGCTAAAAAACATTTTTTCACGAGTTACGAACAATATTTTTCATCACAATGTGGCGGAAATTGGACTTTTAGGCATGCGGAGCGTGCCGAAAAGTTCACTTTTCGTCACAGCGTGATGGAAAATATTAATTATTGAATAGTGCACGTGGTGCTTTCAACAATTTAAGTTGTTTGAACACAATGTTTTTGATGACGTCATTGGTTTCTCATGTTTGTTTTTCTGTTAATCAAGTTTGACGATACGATTTGGGCAATTATTTTAACATTTCATGAGTGCATGTTTGTTTTGAGATTTGAGGGCTCTCAAAATTTCTCACGGATTGATAGCAGCACCATGTCTGCATGTTTACGTTTCACAAATAAATGATTGTAATTTGTTGAGTACTTTACGTCGCATTGTTTTCCCCATTTTTTCCGATTTTTTTGCGTAAAATATTGTTACTAAGTTTTTGCACTGGGATTATTTGTATAGATTTTTTTTCAGGATTAAATTGTTTAGGATCATTTTTTTCAGGATTTTCTGGCTAGGATCAAATTGGTTAGGATAATTTTTTTAAAGATTTCTTGACTAGGACTAATTTGTTCAGGATTAATTTTCGAGGATTAAATGATGTGGAATCCTACTAAAGTGGAACGTAATTTTTTTAATAGTATCATTGAAAATTTCCGCCATATTTGACGGTCATATATGGGTCAATACACGTTTTTTCAAGAAATTACACACATAGCCGAACTTTAACACAGTATTTATCTACCATCAGCAGTTAATTAGGTGCTGGGACTTACAATGCAAATCCTTTTGTCATCTTTACACTTCTTCATCAACGACGTGTGATTGCCGACCAAATCTACACATTTCTCTCCATCCTCCATCGTATCACACTGATAACACCAAAGATCGTTGGCCCGTTCAGAGGCTGCGTGTGTACGATGCTCCTTAGCTAGTAATTGACCTAAGATCATTTGTCAGAACTATGAATTCCCACTGTTTTAAAGATTAATTCATAAATTCCTTTTAAACTAGTGGATTTACAGAAAAAAATGTTATAAGACTAGAGCTGAGTTGAATACTACTTAAATTACTATTTTGAATTCAGTTCCGGAGCGGTGAAACAGATTAAGGGGTCTCCGCAGTACTTTTGGGTAAAATATGACAATGTGTTTGCGAATTAAATATATCATATAGTAATCAAAAATGTTAAAAAGATATTTGTAAAAGCAATTCTAACTACTTTTATGGTTTCATTCGTGTTTAATTAATTATTCAAATTGCGCCTTATATACACAACTTTTATGGACGCTACTTTGTCCCATACCCGTCACACTATTGACAATGTGCTAGCCAGCAAAGGAAGCTGAATTGTTCTATATTAAGCCCTAAACAATATGGGCACAAAGTCCCATTGGGTTTTATCGTTGATTTGTTCAGTAAATTAATGATAAAAATACTATAGCGATGTCTGTCATTATCCAACATACGCCATATTTGATGTCTCATCTCTCTCGAAACTAACCTCACTAACTTGACTATTTCACACTCAGCTCACCCGCGCGCCCATCGCAACTGCGGAGACCCCTTAATGGGAGGCTACTATGAGTTTTAAAAGTTGTGGGGTATTGGAGTGAGGCTTTTAAAACGTTGAAGATCGATTATGTAGATCTGAAAACGAATAATTAGTGCAAAAAATTTTTTTTTATTGTTCGTTTGCCCGAAAACGCTTAAAATGCCAAAAACAGACCAGGACCTCCAATTTTTGAGCTACGAAAGATGTTTTTTTCCAAAATTTTCGGGAAAATATGTGGAATAATAATTACGAGCTATTTTTGTTTTAATTCGCCTCTTACATGGCTAAATTTGCTTTTGTATTTTTTGACACAAATAGTGAATTTTTTTATATGAAAAAAAAACGAAATCAGCTGTGTAGGAGTCGAATTCCAAAAAACGAGCTCGTAATTGTTGTTCCACACATTTTTCCGAAAACTTTGAAAAAGAAATCTTTTGCAGCTCAAAAATTGGAGACCCTCGACTGTTTTTAGCATTTTAAGGGTTTTCTGGCAAACGAACAACAAAAAAAAATTTTTTTCACTCACTATTCATTTTCAGATCTATATAATTGATCTTCAACATATGAAAAGTCTCACTTCAATAACCCACGACTTTTAAAACTCATAGTAGTCTCCGCTTAAGTGTAAATTTGCCAATTTCTTTAAGGAGGGTCATGAAAATTTTTGTAGTCATCTTGAGATTTAAGCTAGATGAAAATCTCATTTTCATTAAAAAAATTGACCTAAACCGCGTTTCACCTCTTCGCTACTGAACTACTCGTAGTTAATAAGTATTTTTCATGAAACATGAAACATCTAAATCAAAATAAATATCAAAGTTTATTCATAAGAAAAATTTGTTCCCATTAATTTCTATTCTCATTTCAGAGTAAATTGCAAATAACATAGTATTTAAAGAGTATTTGAAAGGAGAGAATACTGCTTGAAGTACTCCACGAAAATTTCCTGAAATAATTGCTAATTTTAAAGTGAGTCAAGCAGGTTTAAACAGCAACAACGCAGACTTTGTAGATAACAAGATAGATCTATCCAAAGAATGTAAACTAATGAAAACTGAATAAGAATAGCGTTGATAATAAGTGCACTGGTAGAAAGGATTAGTTATTGTTAACGAATGGATTTGGTTGGAGACGAGGGTCTATTCGGTCTCACCAAATGTTCATTCGTTGGTAGTTAACAAATGCATATTTGAGGAGACTTGTTTGACTCGATTTTCATCTTTCAAGTGAAGCATTCGTTAACTATTAACGAATATTCATTTGGTCATATTCAACTCTACCATTCGTTAATAATTAATAATAATTATTAATAAATAATAATTAATAATTAACGAATTTCGTTTGGAATAAATGAATCAGTCTATTAGTGTATCCCAATAAAACACTATCTACTTGAATCATGACGACCGTCGACAGTGTCCAAAAATATGAAACGGAAGGATTATCAGTGCTTATAATATGCGATAATTCATCCATTATAATTTTCTTGTTTCCAATTACCGATAAACGATGAAAATATATGATCTGATTTTCAACACTGCTTATATTCGAAGTAGACAAAACCATTTCATTCAAGTCTCGTGGAACTGATTTGCATGAGTAACATGTGTGTAGTGATTAAGGTTTCCATTGTGAAAAATAAATATTCCTATATCATATCTATCAAAATATTTAAATAGTAAAATAAAATTGGAAATACTATTGAATCAGTCAAAAAAACCAACTTGCAATGATTATTTCGAATGGTAGTTCATTCTTATTCATTATATTTCGATTTGATTAGAGACTATTCTCGAAGAGAACACAGCATTTCACCTCACTGTTCAATTGTCACTAAAAATAAGGAGAAGAAAATTTTCTATTAAAAAACATCCCCCTCCCAGTTTGATTGAATAAATTCCTGATCTTTTACGTCTCCAGATTCTCAAATTGATTACCCCTTACCTCATGAAAATTAGAGTCACGCAGGATCCCTTCTTTATCAATTTTTTATGATTCACATGCCAATAATCAACAATAAAAAATAACAAATAAATGAAAATTCTTACCTTGCGCTGCACGGAAGACGATCCCCAGAATAATCCCCAAAAAGTGAATTCTAACCTTCCCCTTCATGTTTCTTCCTTTTCGTTCTCCAATTGAAAGCAATCAGACGATCCATGTGCGCATATTCCTCCCCAATTTCTAATTATTCATCTAAAATGGCGTGAATGCTATATCTCGTAATTATACGAACCAAGTGTTTCGTGGAGATCATACGCACTGCTGACGCTTAAAACCGCCATGCCGATCGTCGCTAGCGCATGCGCGGGGGGAAACGCATCATAGCCTTTCTGGGAAAATCGATATCATATAGAATTTTAGGGCAAGAAGAGTTATCTGCTTTTCCCCATGGAAAGTCACAGGATGTAATCAAATCATGTCATAATTCTCCCTCCGGCGTTCTATTGAAGATTTAGACATTAGGAATAGTCCAGTTGTACATTGAAAAAAACAACCTCCACTTTCTGAAACATTTATTTGAGACAAGTAATTTTTCTTTAATCGCTTAGTGCCCCTAAGCATCTCAAATCACGTGGCCCGAGAAAGGTTTCATGTTTTAAAATACTCTTGTACTCAAGTATGATTTTGTCGCAAATAAACTCACTCAAATCGTGCGTAGAACAATCATCAATCTTCAAGTATGTTTTGTTTTCATGATTTTTGTTTGTAGACTTCCAATGTCTCGATATGTAATATATTTATGACGTAACTCGCAACGATAGTTATCCATGAGAATTTATCCAAGTTCCGTGAAACGCAAACATTCTGAGACTTGGGCCATTGAAAATAATTTCCTTCTCTCAAGAAAATATAGTGTACATATTAGGAAATTTTTCTCTCAATGCACTAAACATCAAACTTATGGTTGAAAATCATTTTTAATCAAACAATTTCCCCATTCGTCTTATTTTATGACGTTCGGGACGTGTGAGATGGGAGGAATATAGAGGACACCCAGTGTAAAACAATATAATTCAAGCCGACAGCGAATTGTTGGGAATTGAGGAAAAGGAGGAGGACTTTACAACATTGAAGGAATGCGAAAATCTCGAAGAAATTAAGGAAATTGGAATCGTGGTATTGTAGTACGAGGGTACTGGTGTAGGTGTGTATAAGTCCTGAGTGAGTGTTGAATTTGATACGTTGAGGAGGGTTGGCCACAAAATAAAAGGGTGGCAGACGAAAAATCTCTAAATTCAAAATAAGACTTCCGCTAGGCTCTCGTATTAGCTATTCAACGAGATTCCTTGATGTGGGGTATAGAGCGATAGTCCCAGAGAAGTCAAGAAAAACGATTTTAAGTGTTTACACAACACATTCAGGTATATCACAAATTAAAAATACTGCGCTTCCTATTTCTGGTGGCCAAACCTTGATAAAGAGATAGAAAAAATTATTCAATCATGTCAAAATTGCCTAAAAGAGATATCCCAGATAGATAGAGATATTATATATGCTTGGAAATGGGTACACGGTCGAAAAAATTTAATAGAAAAACCTATCGAATTCGTTAGAAAATTCTATTGAATTTCTATTGAACTGTTCTATTAGATTTTGGCCGATTCTATTAAAATGTTCAATAGAAAATATTCAGTAGAAAAAGTCAATAGAATTCAATTTTTCTGTGTAACTTCTTCTATTGAGATATTTTCTATAGAATTTTCTCGGCTGAAATTTTCTAAGTTTTCTCTTTTGATTTTCTTGATGAGAAGAAAAGAAAAATAAAATGAAAAAAACTTGGAAAATTTGAGTCGAGCAAATTCTATAGAAAATATATGAAAAGAATAAGTTATATAGAAAAATCGAATTCTGTTGACTTTTTCTATTGAACATATCCCACGTACGAAAAAACGAATGGGCCGAGCTTGGCCCAAGCCCGGTGGCCGGCCTGCCGAACTTCGGGACCCGTTCCTCAACCGGGACCGCGCCGGACTTGGTTGAAACCTGGAATGATAACATCGGGCCAGGTCTGGGCGCCCATCTCGGCCCAGCGTTGATTGCCAGTCGTTGGCCAGGCTCAATTAAACATTACTTAATTACATGAATATGATAATATGGGTGATTGAAATACAAGTAATTTAATATTACTCCTCAACATTCGTAATAGGTTCAACGAGGAAAAAAA